CAAAGCCATTCATTTCATTTTGAATTAAAAATTCATTGATAACATATTATTTCCTGTTTTGATAATTAGGAGAAAAAATAAATAAATTATATTATTTGTTAGGAAAAAACATAAAAATAAATGAGGGAATGGTAATAACCTTTTTCTCATGGTTAAATAATTGAAGAAGTAATAAGATGAAAAAAAAAAAAAAAAAAAAAGATTCCTCGTGTTTGAATGATTAAAAAATAAAAAGATGGAAAAGGTCCTTGAAAAGATTTTCTTACAGATATTTTTAAAAAACAAATTACAAACCTCCTTAGTACGGACAAATGAGTACTACTCACAAATTCAACGACAAAAAATGAAAAAAAGAAAAAAAAAAAGAAACCAATAAGTCAATGACGTGGAAAAAGAGAAATCACGCGTGGGGCGGGAAAAGCAGCGATTGGACAGATAAGACACGAGACGTTTAACTTCCATTTCTGGACAATACAGAGAACCGTGACAAACAGAGTTTGAGGTCCACATTCATTACTTCATAATCTGAATATACCTAAATACCCCTATATGTGTTTCTCATACTGTACTTGGTTTAAAGATCACGTGCTCTCTGCGTGCCTGCTCTTTCCAACCATATTTTTGAGGTCTTTAATTAAAATAAAAAATACCCAACTTCTCAAAAAAAAAAAACAGAAGAGGAGGAAAATACAGCAGGTATTTTTTATTTTTATTATTATATTTTTTAATACGTAAATTATACATACTCATTTGTTTTGGAAATCAGATTCCCATCTTTCTATTTAGCCCTAGGCGTAAAATGTAGCAATCTTTTTGTAATTTTTTTTTTCTTGAAAATGATGAATTTCTTAATCCATTTTTACTTGTCCGTGATGAGACTGCAAATCATTACCTTAGCTCTTTTATTACGTACTTTTAAACTTAAGTCATATAATTATTCTTAACGAGTATTTTTTTTAAGTTCTGATCATTCACGCTCATTTTTTCACTATGCATTACTTAAATTTTACACCGTCCATGCTCTTGCTCTTTTTATACGTTATTTAGATTACAACACGGTATTGTATCTTTTGGATTGATAGTACCATCTCATTTGAAAATTAATTAATATTAAATGAGAGAAAGACACACTTTTTATGATATTCAACGCAAAGACTTATCCCTATAAAAAGTAATATTGTGTGTTCTAATATAACGTGTTGAATCAAGCTGCGCCATCTCATTTGAATTTTTTATATTTGAAACTCAAATGAAATGTATAAATTTTAAAATCAAATCAATTTGTGAAATTTGAATTGATTTGGATTTAATTGATTGTGCGAGCCATTCATACAACTAGAGAGCACAGTCCAACACCCTGATGTCTGCAGTAGTTGTTTACATAAACCTGGTCCCTCATCAAGTTGTCTTCTGTGGACCCCACCTCCACAGTTGTTCTCTTTAATTAAGCCGGCGGAGGACCACACGAGTATAAAACCATAAGGTGGTCCTACGCGCTTTGATTTCTCCACGTGTACGTCCAAGATTCGGTTATCTAAGCGCGTGATTCTAGACATTCCCTACATGTGGTCCAAACGATATCTTTCCGCCAAGTGTCCCTTAGTCTCCGCAAGTGGCGACGCTAGATGTTTCCCTTTCTTGTCTTATTATTTTTAGTATTCTTATTTTGATAAAAAGCTAAAAATCAAAAAAAAAATAATTATAATAAAAGAAAAACTCCACTAATTGTCAAAATGATTCCTGAATTTTAAAAATCCATTGATTTATCAGAAATTATTATTATTATTTTTTTAAAGTGCATTTATACAAAAATGAAGGGTATTTATCACTATTAAAGTTAGGCCATTACTTTCACTCTAAATGCTATACACATCAATCACATTTAATGTCTGAATTTTGACCAATACATTTTGAAACTTTTTTCCTTCAACTACTTAATTTCCCATCAATTGTTATTTAATTTTTGAAAAAATTAATTGCACATCAAGATAATCAATTTCAATTAACTAACTATTTAATCCTACAAAAAAGACATGCACCATGTCCATAAATGGACCCTGCCAAAAAAATCTCACTTGTTTGGTCAGAAAACGACAGGAGAAAATGGAAAAAAAATTCCTTTTTTCTGCTGTTGGTGTATGAAATCCATAATTTAAATTAGAAGAAAATTACGTTAAATTTTTTTTTTTCAGTAAATAAAAAAATTTAGGTTAAATTTGAGTTCCTATGATCTTCAGTTTCAATTTTAAAGTGCCAATGCATGCTGTCAAACAAATCATTTTTTTTTATAAATTCAGTTGAAATCACACAATTTATCCTAACACTTTTAATTACCATTACTTAGTCGCTTCATTTAAGAGTTGGAAGTACAATTTTCCTTCTTTTACTTTTTACATTAATTCTGATTATTGTGCGAAAGAAGTTTACATTAATTTTATGCGTGTGTGGTTCATTAATTAGTGTGAATTAAAATTTTCATCATTAAAATGAGCTTTACGAGCTTAAAACATGCGAGCAATAATGATATAATAATAAAAGTAATATTAGAGCAAGAGAAAATCAAATAAATCATTAATTAAGATTATGGAGATAGAAAAGTTAGCATGTGATTTAACTGAAATTATGATGGCAAGTGAAGCAAAGTGATGATGAAAGATTCATTGTCAACTAGTACGAAGTATTGATGCATTTGCTAGGCAAATATATATATTTTTATTGTTATTATTATTATTAATTCTATCATTTTCTTAAAGTGAAAATTTAAACTTTCGTCTTTCAATTAGAAAAAATACCACTAAGTTATTATTATAGCTGAACTTCATTTCGATTGATGCAAGTATTAATTTTTACTAGGGATGCATATTGTTCAATTTTGTATATTTTAACCTAAATTGGAACTGAACTAATGCTAATAATTCTTAAAATATTAGAACCAGAATCATAAACCTTTTTTTTAAAAAAGAAAAAGAAAAATAAAGACTCAACAATTGACTACGTACTAACAATATTGATTCGACTTATCAAAGCAAATATAGGTTATACAACAAATGAGTAATAATAAATCTTTTAACCATGAAAAAAATAATTATAATCTAAAAGCAAATGAGCCATTATTGTGTTTGTATGAAATAAATATAAAATTTAGAATTTTAAAACACATTTCACAATAGCCTTATCTTTGTGTATGGTTTAAAAATCATATTGTTGTGTAGCGTAAAACCCCCTCACTATTAAAGAGCCCACAAAGGACAATAAAACAATTATAAACTTTTGAGTCACAGTTTGACAAAAATATAGGGTAAATTAATAGCATGGTGGTGTTGGAAAGTTTTGAATGAATTTTGGTGGTATATCAAAATTATTATTAAATATAAAGGGATGAAATCATAATTATAAAAAAATAAATAAAAATAAAGGTAAATAACATATTTAATCTCCTTTTTTTTAATGTTTCCTTGATTTTTGTCTTTAGCATTGTTGCTTGAGTACCAAGTTAAACAGTTGGTTCACGGGCTATAGCCGGTCACCCCCAGCGACGACCTACCGAAATATAGAGAAATTCTGGTTGGGAGGTATCAATTCAGTCCAGTAGTGTTGCCAACTACCACACCACATTTTTAAAACGTGGAAAACACGCCCCAGCTATTATTATTATTATTTTAAGAAGGATTAGTTAATCCAACATGGTAACAGGATTAAAATCAATCCAAACAAGCTAAACTTTTTACGCATTTTATTCATCTGTCTATATGAGTCTAGATCCTTTGCCATATGCTTTCTCGCCGTTGTAGTGCATCAAAAATGTGCACAAGACATTAAATAGAGGTTTAATGTACATCATTATTTCAAAGCTTGAGATAATAGGTTGCAACCTTAATTAAAGAGCAACGTTAAAATTGACGAAACTATTTTTCGTGTGACTTCAATTATCTAGCAAGGATTCTTAATTTCTTAGTTAGCAATGCAGAAAGATCACCAATCGGAATTTTTTTAATCATTTTTCTCAATTTAATCGTGTTATAGTTTTCACTGCAATACAATTAATCAAGTTGTCAAACAATTATTTCAAATTGTCTTAAAATTTCGATTTAATATGTTGTAACCTATTAAATCGAGCCTCTAATATCATTACTTTGAGATTCAAAATAGTGTTCACCTTTATTCAATATATTACATGTACACACTATAGTACTAAAAGGGAAATAACAAAGGATTCAAATTTTTTAATTTATTATAAATAAATTTTTCTAGAGATTTAATTTTCTAATAACTTATTTGCTATATCTATAGAAATTTACATTAAGTTCTTAGAATTACATTTAGGAGTAATGGAATGCGAAACTAATCCAAGACTAACTTGATTTTCTACCCTGAGCTCAATCCAAAAATAAAAAATTTGAACGTGAATTTATCAATATACACACCCATAAACAAGTGTGTAGTATTGCAAAGTTCTCTATTTAAAAAATTAAATATTATAAAAAATGGATCCAATTTTATTCAATTAGATTAAGAAAAGGCAAACTCGACTAATCAGATGACTAATCAAAAAAATTCGAGCTAGTTCTTTCTAACCCGGGTCAAGTTCAGTTTGTATTTGAACAGCATTACTCGTAGTCTGAGTCGAGTAAGGATTAATCCTTCAACCCGTCAAAAATCATTTGTCCGAGAATTAAAAAATGTAAAAATTAAGGATGTACATATAAATAGCATTCCACGCCGTTGGTACAACGACTCAATCATGTTCGTCGTAATAACAACTCCTTCGCACGTACGTCAATCCATTCGTGTACCCAAACTCTACCTTTCCATTATTAATTTATCTAAACTTTGTCTCCAAACGCGTCCTTACGTGACCTTCACGCGCTCTTACTATATCACCTTTTTCTTATTTCTCTAAAGACATCAGAGACGACAGTTTAGTCACGTTGACGGTCTCCTCACCGTCCGATCAGATTAATCCCCCATTTCTCTTCTATCCAACCACACACCTCCACGCTCTCTAAACAGCTCACATCTACCAATTTCACAATCAGCGGTTTGCCGAGTAGTTTTTCCAACCGCCAAACCACTCCCCCTCTTTCTCTCTCTACATGATAGAGAGAGAGAGAGAAAGCTCTGAGCTCCCTATATAAGTTGCCCCCTTTCTCTCTCTTCAATTTTTGTTTTCTTCCCGGTGGTCTGGAGGCCACCTCTCCCTATATATACACACAAACACATACATATATGTATATATGCTAGCATTAATCTCTCTCTTTCTCTCTCTGTTTACAAAATCAACACCTGATTATAAAAATATTTTGTATCAGGTATTTTGAATTTCTGTTTAGTTTCTGTCCATGTAGTTACAGATTGTAATAGTTCTTCACCGGTAAATATATCTCCGTTGTTTCTCTCTCAACATATTTTATGTATGTATAGATACAAATGATGACAGTACTAGTGTGAGAGTGTATTGTCGATGGCGTTTCCAAACCATCTCTCACAAGAAATGGCTTTACAACATTTCTCTGACCAACATTTAGGTGAAAACGCTTCGGTTCTGCGAACTATAATACCTGAACAGCTCGGTCAATCTTCGCCGGACGGTGGAGGTAGGGACCACAAGGACATACAGAGGCTCATCTTGGAGTCGGCCGGAAAAACGCCGGAGCATCACCATCAGTCGCCGCAACAACAGGCGTCGCAAGTCGGTGTCGGTCCGACGTGGCTCAACAGCGCGATTCTCCGGCAACAGAGCCAGTACAGCGACGGCAATTTCCTCAATTTGCACACAAATAATTCTGAATCCATGGCTTCGCAGGCGTCGAATCAGTGGCTCTCGAGATCGATTCTTCAGCGGAATGTCAGCGATGTTAGGGACGACGTTCAGGTCTCTAACGATTCGATGATCGCCGCTGCTATGTCACACGATTCAGCCGATTTGAACGACAATAACAATGGTAATAGGAACATCGGAAGCAATCAGGTGGAGAACAATGGCGGAGGCGGCGGAGGACAGATAGCAGACAGCGAAGTCGGCGGTGGCGGCGGCGGTGGAGTGATGAATTGGCAAAATGCGAGGCATAAAGCCGAAATACTGTCGCATCCGCTTTACGAGCAGTTGTTGTCGGCGCATGTGGCGTGTCTGCGTATTGCGACGCCGGTTGATCAGTTGCCAAGGATCGATGCGCAGCTCGAACAGTCACAGAGCGTCGTCTCCAAGTATTCGGCTCTCGGACATGGTAATCTAGGTGATGATAAGGAGCTTGATCAGTTCATGGTAAGCTTTTCCTACTCTGTTTTTTTCCATTTTTCTATTTTTTATTTTTGAATTTTGTCGGTATTTGTGGACTGGTGTTATTAATTGGGGGATGTACATCTTATTTATGAAACTGAAGAGAAATTGATGAGGGTGTGTATACTTCTGATTGTTTAAATTGAAGTATTGTATGGTAATAATGTGCAGTCTAGACTCGTGCAGAAGTTAATTTTATGCTTAAATACCTTCCAAATTTATCTCCTGGTTGTTAGGGTTTATCAATTTAGATAGATATAGATTGCATGAAAAGTCTATTCCTTTGAGAAAAAAGGTACTCTGCACCTTGGTTGATATAAGATTGTGTGAAAAGTCTGTTAGGCTACCTGTTTGATGATTGTAACTTGAAGATTTCAATCAAATGTGGGGCTATTTGTCATTTAAAATGGAAGGATATAAGGTGATGTGTGGTTAGTTTTGGGGTAATTCCTATTGTCATTTAGGTGTTTGGAGTTGCTGTTAAAGAATGACAACAGTTAATGGATGCTTAGATTGATGATATTAAGCATGCCCAATGTCGGATTTTTATGCTTTGAGGGTTGATGATTTGGAAGCCCTTTATTATGTAATTTAACATAACATGCTGACTTTGGATTATGTGGGAGGCAAAAAGTTTGAGCGCAGTAATAAACAGAAGAGATTGCAACACTATCCACAAGGAAGTTTCACAAGTAATGCAATAATTGACCGACTCCATGAGCAATAACAACAAAAATGAGCCACTGACAGAGTGACTGTAAAGATTGCCATAACACAGCTTACTCTGAAACATGTGCAAGCTTCACTCTTGACCTTTGGCATGATGACAAGCGGGGCTGATCTTTCCCATGTGTCAACATACTTGAGAATGCCCAATACTTACTTGATTGGAGCTATCTAGCTAGTCCACATGGGAATCAGGCCGTTAGTTTTGTTATTTATCTATCACTTATCAAAAAAAAAATTTATCTATCGAAAAACTTTATTATTTAGTTTTATTTTCAAGAAATAAATGTGTCTTGCTATTGCAAGATGTGGAAATTAAAAATGATGGGTCAAAAAAGGAAGAACGTTCTGGAACTAATCTAAAATTTTGAACACTGTAACAAGAATTTCACTGAAAGTTAGGATGTCAAATTGAGATGCATGGGAGTCATATACAATTCTACTGCTTTGAAGTCTTTTCCAGGATAACTGAACACAGTGTTCTCTGCCTTCTGTTTTAGTTAGATAGAAACTGTATAATATGTTTTGACAATTATAATGGAAATATTTTTCTACTTTTAAGCTGTAACTGGTTTATGTATATAATTATAATTTGGTCCATTCTAGCTTCTAGAGTTTTGATTTTTTTCAAAAGTTAGTACTTCTAAATCCACAAGTTAACTACTTGGATTTGTTGAATGAAAACTGCCTTCTTTTTTCTCAAGTTCATGTAAATGGATTTCAAGTTTCTTCATTGGATATCACACATAATGTTTTGTACTGCTTTGCTTATTTTAGAACTTGGGCTAAAATAGGAGTGACTCTCACTCTTAAGCTATCCGTAAAAATGCATTCCATATATCTTTGAGATTAGAGTTCTTCAATTTATGATCATCGAGTTGTTCAACCACAGACAGGAGTCTCTACCAGCAAATTTATAGTAGCATATATGCTGCAACACCCTATCATCGTATGGGGAAAGCTTAAACTAGAGTTTGAAAGCTTAATTTATTAGCAGTGAGAATTTTCTCTAAAATAAAACTGCTATTCTGAATGGCTGGATTGGATTTTTTATGAAGATAATCCATAACATCTTTTGAACGTGTAAGTAGGAAATTCTTCATTTTGCCACTTATGTAGTTTTGTAGCCAGTGGCACTTTATGACAATCCAATTGGAATTGGGGCAGTGGGGACTAAATGCTATGCACAGAGGTGAAGTGCTAGCCTTCTAGGTTATAAGTTCCGGAACTCTTACCAGACAGATTTGTTTTACATCTCATGACATGCGGCTAACTCATGGTACATTAATTATTTAGAAAAAAATGGATCTTATGCTCCAATTTGTACTCTTATGTTCACGAATAAAACTATTATCTTTTGTCCAATCACCATTCTGTATCATATTTGTCCACAACTGTGGTTGCTCTATCCATCCTATATACAAATTTACTTTGTGAACGTTGTTGCAATCTTTTGAATATCCGACTGAGTTGCAAGGGAAAAAAATGAACAAGAATTGTTCACTCCACTTGTTTTGTTATGTCCTGTTAACATAGATGGTTTGTTTCTTTGCATTATTTGGTAGTGATTAATTAGAATAAATCAAGAAATTTGAATTTTTTATTTTTGCTTTATGTCAATGAAAGCAAATATGGAAACTTGGCTCACACAAATTTAATATCCGGAAGGAAAATAATGCCAGCATAGTGTTACATAGATAAAATGCTTTCAGCTTGCTTGTATCAACTGAAAGTCTGACTGACTAAGTTGCAACCTGGCTAGGAGCTTCACACAATAATGTTCCAATCTTTATCTGTACCATTAATGAATTTTGCTTCTGGTTAGTTAGAGGTTTCCATCTTGACTCTTAAAAGAAATGAACAAAAGCTTGAATCTCAGTTATCGTGACATACTAGGAGTGAATGCACTGGTGAAGAGGTTTGGGGTTGTTGGATAGAACTAACTGATCACAAAAGAACATGTTTGTTTGTACTATTGGTTATATATATTAAATGAAATAGGTATTAAGCACTTATGTTTTTTGTCAGTTTCTGAATGTGTTATATACTATTATGGGGGATTTTTTTTGCAGCGAACTTGTTCTCTATTTAAAGAAAAGTTGTCATTTATGGCTGTCTTATTCTCATCCTTTTTCTATCCATAATGTAGACACATTACGTCCTGTTGCTTTGTTCTTTTAAAGAACAACTGCAACAACATGTTCGTGTTCATGCAATGGAAGCAGTAATGGCTTGCTGGGAGATTGAGCAATCTCTACAAAGCTTAACAGGTGATGTTTCATTTTTTACCATTATGGATTTGTTTGTTTCTAATTAATGTTCCAGATTTCCCACAAAAAGAAAAGAAAATACTGCACCTTTGGCTTGAAATATAATGTGTATTATTGTAGTTGCAATGCCCTTTTTACCTGCAAAATTTTTATGCTTCCGTGCCATACTAATATTATAGTGGTTCCATTTGTTTAACATTTTTAAACTATTAATGCTATTAATTACATGTTATGTTGTTGTTTTTATGACTTGGCACAAACATCTTTTCCACTGTTTTTATTTTTTATTTTTAGTGAAAACTCCTATCTCACTTGCCAAAAAGAAAAAAAGGAAACCCTGTGCCTCATTGATTTGGTCCTCCACAAAAATCATACTCTCAATTGATCACTGGGAACTTCTTTTCTGGAAACATTCGTAGTGAAACAAGAAATAGAAGTGACTCAATTTTAAACACATTAATTCCGTCCATGCACGACGTGAATGCAGTTTTATCGGTTGTTTGTAATTACACTGGTGATCTGAAATTCAGGAAGATGTTAATTTTAAGATATAATGTTAACTCTCATTAGTATTTGACATGAGATCATATCCGTCTCTTTTTGTGCCACGAATCCGTGGTTGTCTTTCCGCTTATCAACCATTAGATACTCTAATCAGAAAGTATATGGAAAAACAGTGGAGAAATAACATTCCCCCACTAATATTACATGGTTCAGCAGTTGCCTACTTTAATGAGGTTTGGTATTTATCACCATTTTTTGATACATAGGTATTCTGCATTTGAAGAAGAATCAAACTCCTCAACCAAGAAAAGAACTACTTTTATTTCCTGTGACCAAGAATGAAGATTTCTAAATTTGTTATTGCATATTCAGTGAATCTCCTGCCTATTCTTAAATCTATTGCTTCCATTTTTGAGGCGTAGTTTTTTCCCTTTGTTTCAGCTGAAGAAAATGTATGCTCAATTTTGACTTTTACCTTCATTGACATCTTAACCATATTTAGTAATGACCCATTCAGTTTAAGTTCTCATTATGTAATCATTGCTCCTTATATTTAAGTTAGTACTTGCTATCAGTTCATTCAATTCTTAAATTTATAACCGGAAGTCAATTTCTTGTCATCATTTTTCGTGTGATTCTCTCAAGTGTGTTGTTATACGGAATCCAAAGACCAACAGCTGGAAATGTATTTAATTGTTACCTGGATGTATATCAGTTGTATATGGGGTTCTCACCTTGCTGTATAAGCAATACCTGCTTTACCTTGTATGGAGAAACCAGCAAGGCAGCAACTATATTACGTAGTATCTCATTTGGATAGATAATCTGACATGTGAGTGTTCTTCTCTGGTACCCACCTTTAAGGAGAATCCAAATCCTATATTACCCTTTCATATCATATGGACTGGTAATCTGAAACGTGAGTCTTCTTCATTGATCACTCTGTGAAGATACATTTGTGATAAAAAAATATTGTGCAGATCACTAGTTATATTGTATGATCTGTAAAAAGATAAATCATGCCAATGCATAAACCAAGTGTCGATTTTCACCTGGTGTGAGCAATATTCATGAAAAATTTAGCAAGTTGATCTTTCTTATTGTAAGACGGATTAAAATAGTGCAAAATTCACCTTTACCATTCTGACTTAACCAGACAGCATGTGCTAAACTTCATTGTTTGTACGCATACGCTGCTTTACACCAAGAATGAGATATCACCGGAAAGTGAAAGCTCGCAACATATTGCATCTAGAATGAGGTCAAGTTTTTTCTCTGGAGGATACCTGTCACACCCCTAAATTTGAGAGTAAGGGCATCTTGACTTTTTATCCAAATTCGACACGGGTATGGGTATAAAATCTGCGTCTGACGCACATAACCAAATCAGACACCTAGATATTTTAATTATGACGGCAGAAGAAGAAAAGTTACTCAAATTTGATAGCAAAGAAGAGTTCCCTACTTGTGAGAGAGGTAGAATCTCTCTTCTTTTAACCATATTCCATTTAGTTAGCATATGCTTTGACATGCAAGTCTTGCTAAATAGGGGCTACTGTGGAGCAGTTGACACGTTCAAACCCCATTACCCATCACATTAAAAACCAAACAGGAATCCATATTTATTAATTGTTCATACTCAACTAAAATAAGGAAATCATAAAACCTATATATATATATATATATATATTTAAAAATAAACAATAATCCATTCAAGTGTTTGGATGAAATGGAAATTCCTAACTTCAAAACTGCATCCAAATGACATCTTGGATTCGGGGCTGGATTCCAAATCCGTTCTCTGCAAATCAGTATATGCCTGGCTGGATTCCAAATCCGTTCTCTCCAAATCAGTATATGCCTCTCTTGCTTGTGGCTTAACTTCATTTTTAGTATCTGCATTCTGTCTATGAATAACTTTTCAAAGAAATCCTCTCCCCACCCCCCCCCCCATAACTATTGTTATGAAGCATCCCCTTTCCTTGGTTCGTGTAAGAGAATTCTCTATGTCACCTGTTCTGCTATCAGACATGGAGAAATATGAAATTGCTTTGTAAAAAATTACCTCATGACTCGGTTGTGAAGCACCTTTATCTAAGAATCTAAATATCTGATGCTAGTATGATTCTCCTTGAATTCCCCGCTGCCTATCAACACCAGAATAATTTATTTTTTACGGAAAAATCTTAGTACTTTGTTATAGAGTTCATTTTCTCAGCCACTTTATTTGTAATCAAATTTTGTTTGATCAGTTGAAGCCTTTTTCACTGGTTTTGTTGAGATAAGTACATGATCCATTAGCTACTCGGGTTTATGTGAATTATTCTTAAATGACTTTCTTGGATTGTGAGGAATGCCTGATGCTCTCTTTTCCTTTGTGGGCTAAAATTGTTTCTTCTGGCAAAGTAACAAGAGTCAGGAACCAACAGCATGAAATACTAAAATGTGCTTAACCATGGTAAGATTATGCATTGGCTAATCATGAAATACTAAAGCAAATGCTGCTTTCACATATTATATGAACAGGAGTCTCTCCTGGAGAAGGCACAGGTGCAACAATGTCTGATGACGACGACGACCAGGTAGATAGTGATGCCAACTTGTTTGATGGAAGTTTGGACGGTCATGACAGCATGGGATTTGGTCCTCTAATCCCAACAGAGAGTGAGAGATCCTTGATGGAGCGTGTAAGACAAGAACTGAAGCATGAACTGAAACAAGTGAGGACCTAAATATTTGTTTTTGGATTTTTTTTTTAAATTATTTTTTTTTATATTGTCATCAACCTATATACCATTTTTCTCTTATTATTATTTTATTTTACAGGGTTACAAGGAAAAACTAGTGGATATTAGGGAGGAAATTTTACGCAAGAGAAGGGCGGGGAAACTACCTGGTGATACCACCTCTGTCTTAAAAGCTTGGTGGCAATCACATTCCAAGTGGCCATACCCAACAGTAAGTCTTGGATTGTCACACCTTTATAATTTATCTTGCATCTCAGCTGAGAAGCTCAATTAACGTCAACTTTGAATGGGTATATTATTTGCCTTAGTTCTATTAATTTCACATTTTAGAAAGGAAAGAACCAAAGAATAACCAGAGGTTTGGTATGGATCTTTTACCTACCATGCCCGGATTTTGACTTGTTGCTAAATATGTGTCTCCATATTGTCAAATGGTTGTTTAGTTTGCTTTTTACTGTTTAATTAAACCTCATATTACTGAAATTGCTTTCGGAAAGACACAAATGAGTAGCTTCTGAAAAATTTTGGTAAGCTAATCAAAGACATTTTTTCACATGTTAACTGTTTAAGCACTGTGTTTATTCATATCGTTTCAGGAGGAAGATAAAGCAAGATTAGTACAGGAAACGGGCTTGCAGTTGAAGCAGATAAATAATTGGTTCATCAATCAGAGGAAAAGGAACTGGCACAGTAACCCTTCTACTTCTACGGTCCTGAAGAGCAAGCGCAAAAGGTACTTCAATTGAAAGCATATTAAGTTACTTATATTATTGTTACGATGGAGGGAAAAGTATGAGCAAGTCATAAATTTCCTTCCTAAGGATCAATAAGTCCTAACTTTTAGTAAAGACCATTAAATCTTAGTTTGCATGATCATAGAAGTAAGATATTTATCGTTTTGACATTGTAATTATGATCATGCCACTCTTGTGACCAACCATAAAATTCTAATTATTGAATCAATTAACAAATATATATATATATATATATATATATATATATATATCCGAAATTTAATTGCTTAAACTCTTAAATTTGTTGTTAAACGTGGATAACATAATTTTTTATATTCTTTAGTGTACTTTCATTTTCTATATTACATAACCATATACTTTATTTTCAAATTTATTTGAATAAGCAAAAATTTTATATGATTAATTATAAAACTTCCTTTCTTTCAATATTCTTTTGTTCACCGAATAATAAAATCTTTTCCATTTGAGGGAACTCAAAACAGTTGACATTAAAATTGAAGGAAACACGTGTACTAAAAATGTTGCCAAAAACTTCGGTCCATGACAATAAATTTAAAAATTATTGAAAGCATACAAAATTATGTTCAGAAATGTACAAGTCAAAACTTAGGACCATATGTTTAACATGTTGAAAGTTAACAAAATTATGTTAATAGATATTTTACTTTATTTTGGATACGCATCAAACCAAAAGTTTACGTAATTGGTTTAATATAAACAAAAGCTTACACTGTTCTGTAATTTGGATCTCGCAATTCTAGAAAATAAGTTATAAGTTTATTAAGATATCATTTATTATTTCATGATTTAAAAAATGTCATGAATAAAGTAAATGGCAATATTGTAATTCAAAATCGACAGGGTGAAATAAAAAGATAAACAAATTGTGCACTCATGTGGAGTCATTTAGGAAACAATAAGACTTCCTAGTGTGACTTATTGATCTTTAGGTGGGAAAATCAGAAATTAATCCCTATTACCTTTTGTTATCACAAAATTCTCCAGGGATGTCCACCAATTTTAATTTGTAAACGAAGTAATGCAGGTGATAACAGTGGTGATCGTTTCGTGTAAGTGAAGGACAAACCAGAAAGACAAAATCTTTTGACATGCTTCGCCTCCAGTAATTCATACAGCAGCAATACACCTGTTTACATAGAAAATTCGACACTATAAGGCTTGATGTGAACCTTATGGGATTCAAGTAAAAAGATGACCGCGATCGTGCTTCTCTAGGAAAGGTGGTTAGCGGTGCTGAGAAGGCGATGATGAAGAATAATATTTTTGCCACGTTCATGTGTGTTAGAATTCTAAAGAATATATGACCAAAACTTAGTTTGACAGTTCGTCGTACATTGGTACATACAAGATTTTTGTTTATCGTTTTTGTATAAATAAATTTAGCTACGAGGTATGGATGTAGAGTAAGATAATAATTTCTGGCATGATTCCTCGGATACTATAGTGTAAAAAATAGATTTGTTACATGTATGGATGTACAAATGCTTGCAATCTTCTTGGTTATCATTCAACATACTTTTAACACCATTTCAAGTTTTCAAGTTGTCGAGTGTGCCTTTTCTTTCTATTTTTCTTCATTTAGTTCTGTGAGTTTTCGTGTTATCGCAGATTTACATGGTAAATTTGATGGTTGAAGTTTTCTGTTTAATCTGGACGTTATTTGTTATGTATGCAAGAAAATGGGAACCTTCACTTTGCAAAGTGTTGTGTGTACGGTTTGAAATACAAACAACATTTGATGCCACTTTTGACCAAAGAGTGAAGTTCAGTGGACTGTTTTGGCTTCCAATTTTGGTTTGTATAGCACAACCCTTTTAGGGTATATATTTACTGATTTTCATGTCCCCAAGACTAGCTATTCTTATATACAAACAAGTGCTGTAAAATTTCAAGAGTGGTTTTGTTCAAACCTAAACAAGTTTTGAGTTGATGAGCAGCAGAAAACAATAACAGTTTAATATGTATTTATCTTTTGGAAAATGATAATTTTGACGACACTTGCATACCAATAGTTGTTCCAAATCTCTCGTCACAGATTAAATACACTATATTTTCTAGACAAAAAAACCTTTTTAGTTTCTCCTTTTCTTCGCCATATATATATATATATATATATAAGAAATTATTTTTCCAGTGAGAGATTCCGGAATTTATATATATATCTTTACAAAATTCTTCTTTACAGTGAGAGATTCGAATGAAATTTTTTTTCTTCTCTATCATCTGAAAAATCATTAAATAAAAAAGAAGAAAAAAACATGGGGAACAAGAAGACGTGATAGTAAATATTAAGCACTCATTTAATCTGTAGGGGTCATTGCATATTCTTGATTATATTTCAGGGAATATAGGGATTTATTGTATTGCCTTGTTCTTTTCTTTGTATTGCCTGTTAAGAAAGTAATTTTGATGATCCGGAAAAGAAATATTATTGCAGTTTCACGACATTTCAAGAGAGGACATAGAGAGGTTGCATTATTGCTTTATTTGGTTAGAGAGAGAAATGATATTCTAACTTTTGTTAACAACTGTATTGATATATTTAGATTTTAAAATAACTCAATACAATGACATTCACATAAAAGTCGTAATATATCGGTTTTTATTTATTTATTTATGGGGTTTGATTAATTGGCTTAATTTTTTATTTTGAGAAACGTTTTCATACTTCTACCTTTTTAATTGGTAAGTTGTTTCTGTTTTATCTTAAATTTGAAGTAACTTATCAAATAATTTAGTGTACTTGTAAGGGAATAGAAAACAGTAGCATCATACTAAACTATTGTTGGGCGGATATAATTTTATAAAGATTTCTTGTCGATGTCCCCATCAAAAGTGACTGGCTACTGGCCCTCAGCAATGGTAATTAAAATCAGGGTAAAGTGAGGAAAAAAAAAAAAAAATCCTTGAATTATAATTCTTTATATAAAAAATTATATTAAAAATCTCTGAATTATTTAGAAATATGAACAATTTAGTCACTTGCCATGAACATTTTATCTGGTAGGAAAAAAATCACTTATTTTAAAAACATTATGAATGGTCGTCAAATCCTAAATCACATCAAATAAGTGTATAAGCGAGGCTTATGTTTATGATCACCAACGGATATAAGCCCACGTGGTATCCCCTTCACCAAGGGAGCTTATGATTAACTTTTTGAAAGGTGATTTCATCAAATTTATTTTTAAAAATAAATATAAAAATGAGTAGATTGAATAAATATTTCATTATATTCTATGATAAACATAGCTTTTTTTTTTTCTTTTTTTTTTTTTAACTACTTTCTCCGCCAATACAATTTTTTAAAAATTATTTTAGAGTAATATGAGATGAATTTCTTAATATGCCCTTGTAATTTATGAGTACGGTATAAAAGTTGTTTGTCTTAACCCAACCACTTAATGTAGTCAACTTTCATAGAATGAACGGATGAATGAGACGGTATAAAAGTTGATATATTAAGAATTATTATTATTATTTTTTTTTGTTTTCTTTTTTAACTACTTCCGCCGTCCCGCAAAGAGTATTACGGGGAATACAATTTGTTAAGAGTTATTTTTTATGATTTATTTATAGTAATATGAGATGAATTTCTTAATATGCCCTTATAGTAATTTATGAGTACGGTATAAAAGTTGTTTGTCTTGACCCAACCACTTAATGTAGTCAACTTTCAAATTTGAATTGCGGGGTTCATAATAGCTTTTTTAGAAGTTTTAATTACTATTATAATTTCAGGACAAAGGGTATATTAGGAATATTAAAAAAAATAGTATATTGAATTTTGAAGTATGACACATATTTTTGGACAGCCAAAAAAAAAAAATGAACACTTATTTTAGAGCGAAAATAATATGAATTATGTCTTTTTATGCCAAATTGGGAAAGTAACTTTAGGAGACACCATATTTGGAATCTGATAAATACTACCAAGAATTATAAACTACCAAGAATATAGGAGTGTGTGTGTAAATGGATTTAACCATAAAATGGGGTGGCCTAAAATTTAATGCATGGTCATGGGATGTACCTTGACCAAATTTTGTTTGGTTGGGCCAAGTTGGAATAAGAAACCATTTATTTTGGGTTGACTTTTTATCATCTAATCACCCAAAGTGAGAAGTTGTACCACATGGGTAAGCTTAATAAATACTACGTACAACCTTTCTATTGCCAATTTAAATCACAAGTTTATGGTAAATTTTTTACTGATTTATAAATTAAAAAAAATAAAATAAAATAAAAAATAAACGTGCCCTTTTTGACTCAATTTGTATAGCATATAATAGCAAGCAATATATTGTGAATAGTATATTCGGTTCCGTTTAGTAAAAAATGTATTTTACAAACATCACAAGTATTAGAGGTTGTTCCACTCAAAGAAATTCGAGTAAATTTTTCTTTGGATCCAAAGTTTGAAGTATTGTATGTATTTTTCTAATTTTGAAATTATCAAATATTGAAAATAATTATCTGGGAACAAAATTGTTTTTTAAAAAAATACTTAATTTTAAAGAATATTCATCATCCGGCTAAAAAATTGTATAAAACTTGTTGACTGAATTTCTTGAGATATTAAATCATTTAGTTGCATCTCCTGATTTATGGGGAGAGAGAGGTTATCTGAATTCATTTTAATAAATAGATATTTATTAAAATTTGGAATATACAATTGAAAAGGACTCAAAACATTACTCACGCCATTTTTTTTGTTTTTGGGCAAAGTAACATCAAACTACCACACATTTATAAATCGAAAAGCCATCAAACGCTAGCAAATCTCTACTAGGATCTCTCGCGCCACCGTCCTCGGCGGCGCCGCGACATTCCCGGCATTGTCCACCACCGGCGAAATACTCCTCGCCGCCGGCATTGGCTGCGACCTCGCCAAATGTCCCGAGAAATCCCTCACTCGAGCTTCGTCCTCCTTGGCCGAGTCTCCGTCGTCGAAATTAAGCGCGTAGCTCATCGGATCGTAGCTGAAGTCGGCAGATAGCCGGCGGTAACGGCCAATCCGGTGGTGCTTCCTCCTGATGTCCGGTAGATCGTGAACTCTGGATCTCATCCACGTCGACGGCGACCTAGATTTGTCGTCGGATGAATGGAAGCAACATGGAATGGTAATGGAGGACTTCTTGAGCCTCTGCCTCAGAGAAGTGGTCTCCCTTTCGTCTTCCATGGTAGAGAGAGAGAAGAAATAGAGGTATTTAGAGAGAGGGAGGGAATGGAATTGATTCTTTTTTTAGAGAGTGAGATGAGTGAAGGAGGAAAGGAGTGGATGAGGTTATTTATATGTTTGGGAAATGAGAAAGTAGGGATGGAAAATAGCTACCCATAAAAGAAAGCGGATAGAAACAAATAGCTGGACGTACTAAAACCGTGGGAGTTGCGTGGAACTTCTTTGTTTGGTTAAATACGCGTGACTCTATTTTGGGCCTTTCCGTCATTTCCTTACATGATGACAGTTATGTCAATCGCCATCCACACCACAGTGTGTGTGTATATATGTATATATATATATATATATAAAAGGACTTAGATCCTCAAACTAAAATATTTCTTTTAAGTTATTTTAAATTGAATTCACTGTGATATTTAAAATTTATCAATTGTTGCTGTTAAATTACATCAATTAATTTAAAAAAAATTTAAAAATTACACAATTTTGAGATAAGGAGCTCTATATTAAGGAAAATGAAAATTTACCATCTTTTCTAAAAAGAAAATCCTCCCTCTCTCAATTTGCTCTTTATTCACATCTTAAACAAATTTCAATGGTCTCTGTTTCTTTCTCATTGTATTTTTCTAAGTCTATCAAAATCCATACTTATATATTTTTAAATATCACGTGTCAATCCATAGCAAATTCAACTTATGATAACTTAAGTTTTGTTTTGTTAGGTGAAACAGCTAGAAAAGAAAGGAAATAGAAAATTTTTAAATTTTTTTAGAGTTTGCTAGATAGAAAGAGAAACCTAATAGAAAATTTAGTTTCCTACATTGAGTATAAAATTTTATTTTTACCTTATTTATTTGTATTTCCTTTTTTACCAATAATTTAATCGTGAAAAATTCTCTCTAAAATAACTTCTATTTTGAGATAAGTTCGTAAGGCAAATTATACAATTATATATACAGAATATCAATAATAATTTAAGTAAAATTGCTAAAAATAGATCATGCTTCTAAATAGAATTTTTTATTTTTTTTAATCGTTTGTTTTATGTTACAATTCTAACTACTCATAATCCCGTATGGATATATATATATACCTAAAGAAATATTATGAGGCCTTATTCTAAATATAAATAATATAAATGAATATAAATAATTATATATTTGAATTTCATAATTCATCATTTTACATCATAAGAGTAGTTTTGGTATGTATAATCACTTTCTTTTGACTTTCATGCTATCCAAAATAACAAATTAATATTTTTTTTACAATTTTCTTAGATAAATTTTCATACTAACCAAAATGTATACTAAAAAAACTCTTTTCTTTTCATTCACTTAACTTTTCTTTCACTTTCTATTTCATTTCTTTTCTAGCTTATTTTCATCTAACCAAACAAAGCCTTAGAAAATATTTAACTTAGAGGATCCAAGTCCTATATTAAAAACACTCGTGTAGAAATTGTGTTATGACTTGAAAAGTTTTTCACATAACAATAATACTATAAAATAAAAATTCTATTACTTAAAAGATAGACATTTAACAATTAAGAGTCATAAATTAAAATAAAAAAATCAATTTCCAAAAAAAAAATTTTAATATGTTTGGATAGTCAAAAAAATAAAATTGTTTTAACTTATTGAATGACAAAGTTAATTTTGATTTACATATAAATTAGGACGATAATAAAAAATGTAGAATTTTAGTTCCTATTTGGAAAAATATAAAGAAAAGATTAAAAAATTTAGAATTGATGTGAAAAAATTGTCTCAAAGGTATAACTTATTGATTGTATTTAAACTCGATAGGACTGACTTGTTTTTAAAAGTGAAAACTGGTACTTGGCCAAAAAAAATCATATTTCAGTGATGATGTATCGAAATTATAATTGCTTTTTTGTTACATTTTATTTTTATTTTTTCTTAAAGAATGACTAAAAAGAGAGAAAAAGAGAGTGGGTTTAACACATGGACTTTATATGCTACTCTATAAAATAAAATTTATTTATTGATGAGTGAAATAGGTAGTCAAGGTAGTATTCTATTATATTCACAATTTAAAAAAAAAAAAACTAAAACTGAGACTGTTGAGATTCTCATTTGACATCTATATCAATAATCAAAATTTGAAAAATGAAAGTCAACATTATAAGCCAGACTATTTGATTGATAATTCCAACAAAAATAATAAGTATAATGCCAACAATTAGGGTTTGTGTGCCTGGATGGCAGTGTTTTATATATCTAGTTTGGGGTTTTAGGGTTCTAAATCATGTTTCCAGCTGTTAAAACTAGGATATAAAAATGATTTGTCTTATAAAATTTTCTATGTTTAGTGTTTTGTGGAATTTATGTATAGACTATATAGATACATTAAGAATAATTTTAGTAAATTATAAATAAATCAATAGATAATAAATGCATGGTTTTTATTTTTTTTTCTTTGGCAATGAATACAAAAAAAATAAAAAATGCATGATTTTATTTTTGAGTAATGCTAGATGCCCAAATCAGTTTTTATTTGGAGATTTCAATAGACAGTGTCAAACAAAAACTCTTACATAATAATCAAAAGGAACTCTTACGTAATAAATTAATAGGATAGAGTCGAGCATTACTTAGTAGCTTAGTTGATAAAGCGCTTAGCTCCCCAAGTGAGTGTGCCTGTGTTCCAGTTCCCTACCCCTGGTCTGAGTAATGCTAGGATGCCCAAATCGGTTTTTAATTGGAGATTCCAATAAACATTGTTCAACAAGAACTATTATGTAATAATCAATAGGAACTTTTATGTAATAAATTAATAGGATAAAGTCGAGCATTACTTAGTAGCTTAGTTGATAAAGCGCTTAGCTCCCCAAGTGAGTGTGCCCGTGTTCCAGTTCCCTACCCCTAGTCTGAGTAATGCTAGGATGCCCAAATCGGTTTTTAATTGGAGATTCCAATAAATATTGTTCAACAAGAACTATTATGTAATAATCAATAGGAACTTTTATGTAATAAATTAATATGATAGAGTCTAGCATTATTCAGTAGTTTAGTTGGTAGAGCTTAGTTGATAGAGTGCTCAGCTCCCCAAGTTAGTGTGCTCGTATTCTAGTCCCCTACCGTTTGCCATTATAATAATAATAATTAAAAAAATCCTTTTAAAGAGTTAAAAATGATTAAAGTGTTAATTTCATTTACACATAAATAAATGGTGCTAATGACCTATATTTACTATTTGATGAAGTTAAAATCTCATAATTTAAAAAAAATAAAAATATAAAAAAACACTATTTACCTCACTGAGGTACCACTTTTAGGCACATAGGTACATGCATGCACAAAAAGTGATACCTATGTGAATAAAAGTGATACCCAAAACAAAAATGATATATGATGCACAAAAAGTAGTACCTCCGTGCACAAAAAATGATATCTATATGCATAAAAATAGTAGTGAGGATAAATAGTATTTTTTCATATCTACGTCAACATTTTTGTCAAACTTTATTTTTTAACAACTATCAAAATTTGACTACATTAAGGCCTCGTTTGGATTGAGGGATTTGGAGGGTTTTGGAGAGAAAAGAAAGGGAAGGATAGGGATAGGTGTGTTTGGATGGAGGGTTTTGGAGAGAAAAGAAAGGATTGGGAAGGATTTGAAGGGATAGCCTATCCCTCCAAATCTCTCCTAAACAGTAAAACCAAATCCCTCCAAAATTGACAAGATTTGGAGGGATTTGGAGAGAAAGGGAGCTAATGACCTTTGGAGCCCATCCGGAAAAGTCGCCGGAAGTTGCAAAGATCATCGGAAAATTCGTCGAAAGTTGCAGAGACTGTCGGAAACTCGCCGGAAGTTGCAGAAATCGTCGGAAAAGTCGCCGGAAGTTGCAGAAATCGTCTGAAAATTCGCCGGAAGTTGCAGAGAACGCCGGAAAATTCGCTGGAAGTTGCAGAGATCGTCTGTTGCAGAGATCGTCTTTTGATTTTGGTAGATTTTGTAGATTTTGTAGTTGGCAGTTGGAGAGAGAGACAGCCGATATGGGTTTTGACCTTCTATTTTTGTAGATTTTGTAGTTTGCAGCTGGGGAGAGAGAGAGCAGATGGGTTTTGATCTACTAATTTTGGTAGATTTTGTAATTGGCAGTTGAAGAGAGAGAGAGAGCTGATATGGGTTTTTGACTATTTTTGTAGATTTTGTAGTTGGAGAGAGAGAGAGAGAGAGAGAGAGAGAGAGAGAGAGAGACGGAGGGATCTGTGAGATCGGGAATAGATAGATGGAGGAGGCTGAAATGATTTTGTGTTCTAACCCTACCAAAAAGAGTAAAGGGTAAGATAGTAATTTTATTATTATCAATTCTTTTCTTTTATCTCCTTTTTGTTATCCAAACAACAATATTATCAATTCTTTTCTTTTTCTCTCCTATCTATCCAAACATGAATATAAACATTTCCTTCCCTTTCTTTTCTTTTCTTTTCTCTCATAATCCTTTCTTTTCTTTTCTCTCCAGTGTATCCAAACGAAGCCTAAATGAAAAATATTGGTCATTCACACTATTTATATGTAATAATCTTAAAATTAATAGCAAATAGCTGAACGGGGTTAAGGTGAGGTCAACCCAACAATGATACACAGCCATTTTTGTTCAACCAACCCTGCCACTCCGCCAGTGCCAGTAGGCAAATAACAAACATATCACAAATAAAAAAATGGGATGACTTTACAAACTTGCCACCTTCTTCTTCTGCTATCCTAAAGAGGGATTCTAGAGAGCGAAACAGAAGGTGAGAGAGATGGGTTGTGGGAATTTCTTCTTCACCCTAGTGGTAACCTTCTCAGTAGCCCTCATCACATACAACATAATCATCTCAGCCAATGCTCCTCTCAAGCAGGAATTCCCCGGCAATCCATCTTCTTCATCATCATCATCATCATTTTCATCATCATCGAGAGGGTTCATCTCAGTGGACCCCATCATCAAGATGCCAAATGACAGATCAAGAACCAGTTCAGCCAAGAAGAGGCTGTTCCACACAGCAGTCACATCCTCCGACTCTGTGTACAATACATGGCAGTGTAGGATCATGTACTACTGGTTCAAGAAGTTCAAGGATGGACCCAATTCTGAGATGGGTGGCTTCACAAGGATCTTGCACTCTGGGAAGCCTGACAAGTTCATGGATGAGATCCCAACCTTTGTTGCTCAGCCTCTCCCATCTGGTATGGATCAGGTATTCATGGGTTTCTTCTATTTTCCCTAATTTTTGCTGCTTTGACTTTGAAAATCAGCTGAATCTTTATCATACCTTATTTTTTGTTTTGTTTTGTTTATTTATATGTTTGTTATATATAATCGTAATTTCCTCAAATGTCAAAATTGAGAAGTTGCAACACAAATTCAACTGGATTTGGATATGTGTGGCGTCAGGGTTTCCAATTTTTCATTTAGGGTTTTAAGAATGATGACGATTTAGGTTTTTAAGAATAAGATGGTGGAGTTAATTGGGAAGCCACTGCAAGCCTTTTTTGACGAGTTTTTTGTACATCTAATCAGCTGGTATGTTGTCAACGGATGGAGTACCTGAGTTTATGGATTTTATTTGACTTTGTTCACCACTTCTTAATAAACCAGAGGGTGGTGGGTAGACACCAGACATATGTACAATGTCATGGCAGTTGCATTTTGGCGGACACAGATATAATTGATTGAAATTTAAATGAATTGAAAGCTATCATTTGAAATAATGATTTATACACAAACAACATATATTTCCATGGGAACGGTATTGGTATACAATAAATCTTCTGCAATGCCAGATAATGGAGTCTTGCATTTCCTATCAAAAAGAAATATATATTCTTCATTGCTCAAAAAAATAGAAGAAAAGGTGCATTGATGAAACAAACCAAAAGATGTTTAGAGTGAAATTATGATAGGTGAAATCATAAGAAGGTGGTAAATTTATAAGGAAATTGGGCAATATTGTCCAAAATGGCTTGGGAAATCTCTCTCCCCTGTTTATGTCAATTTAATAGGAACTTGTTGTCCATACAAAATATAAAGACTGCTGTTGTCCTTCCTCAAGCCTCCCCACAACAATCTTGTCAGAGAGCCACATAGAAAGCTGGACATTCTTGCTAAGTATGAGTAACCTATTAACTCTTTCTTCATGCCCTATTAAGGGGTTCACTCCACCAATCATATCTCAGCAATTAAAGGAATGTTCCTCTTTATTTACTTGCTCAAGGAGTGTAGAAGTATTATTTGATAATGAAGTCAACATATAAGTATTGGAGTTTGAAATTCTCCATACTTGAGAAGGAGAGACGAATACCCATGATTTGGAGCATGCATTGCCTCCATTTTGTTGATTACAACTGTAACTTACATTCTCTCGGTGAAATTTACTATATAATTTATCATCTTGTTCTGACATTTATCATCTTGTTTTGAAATCTCAGGGTTACATAGTTCTCAATAGACCCTGGGCATTTGTACAATGGCTTAGACAAGCAGACATTAAAGAAGAGTATGGAAGCACTTAATTTTTTGTGTTTTCTCGATACTATTGCTTGATCAATTTCTCTGCTTCACCAAATTCAGACTTGTTACAATCAGTCTTTTTTTTCCTGGTAAGTTTGTTACAATCAGTCTTACTTTGTATGCAGCTACATATTAATGGCGGAGCCAGATCATATCATTGTCAAACCCATACCAAACATATCTAAAGATGGACTTGGAGCTGCATTCCCTTTCTTTTACATTGAACCTAAAAAGTATGAACCTGTTCTCCGAAAGTTCTTCCCCGAGCATAATGGACCAATAACCAACATTGATCCAATAGGAAATTCTCCCGTCATTGTTGGAAAGGTACACAAGGTTTCTGTATATGGCAATATTAATAACAATGAGACCTTTTAATTTTTCAATCTTTCATGATGAAATGGTATTAGGAATCTCTTAAAAAGATAGCTCCTACTTGGATGAATGTTTCCTTGGCAATGAAGAAGGATCCAGAAGCAGATAAAGCTTTTGGTTGGGTCCTTGAGATGTAAGCTTTCCATAACCAAACTAAGACAGCCGGCCCTATTGCAAGTTTCTATTTCTCCTCATTTTCATCACGGATATGCAGGTACGCTTATGCAGTTGCATCTGCCCTGCACAATGTGGGTAACATCTTGTACAAGGACTTCATGCTTCAGGTTTGATATGTTTTTAGCTTGACTTTTTTCCATTTTTTTACCTTTGACAAAAAGATAAGATAGAAAAGTCAGCGATGCAGAATATCCTCAATAGGTAAGTTAATGATTAAGCCAACCATCTTTAACTATATTTGGTGTGAAAGTACCTGTCTAAGGACATGCGTAAAAATTAAAACGAATTACTTCTTGAGATGTGCCCATAATACTGAGAAAGTTGGTCGATATCAGGTTTAGCACCATCACAATATTCTTTGGACTTTTCCAGTAAATCCTGATTATGCACACTTGTTAAATGACCTAACTTATTTATAGCATGCGATTTAGTGATTAATTGAAGAATCATGTTTCAAATTTTTTTTTTTGTTCATAAAACTCAGAAGTATGGGGTGTGTGTGTTTCAAATAGGGGGAAAAAAAAACTTAGAAGTATCCAGAAAAATCAAGTATGTGGTGCTCCTCTTTCCTCTTCAGTCTCTCGTACTTCTCTTTAATTAAGTTCAATTTTCAAAATTTCTGAGATCTTTGCTGCATCTTCCTCACATTTCCCAACTTCCTTATATTTTCACATGCAACTCTTGCATGCTGATTTAATAGATGTGCCTTTATAATTCCAGATTCCTCGGGATAGGTAAACTGTTGCTTCTTTGATTTAGCACGAACTAATTATTGGAGATAAGTAAACTAATTACTCCTTTGGTTTAGCTCAAATTAATTACATGGATACAAGCTTAACTATTTTTTTTTTTTTATTTATTTTTTTTTTCATAATTGGGTTTTGTATATCAAGAAGAAAGAATAAATATTTACAGGCGCACAGAGGGCATACCCTCAGAATATTACTGGAGAATACAACAATAAAACCTTAGAGCAATCTCTAGTAATTTAAAGAAGATCTAAAATAAATGTTTCTTAAAAGGACATTAGAAACAAAGAAGATCGATATTAAAATTTCTAGTCACTGCTAACTAGAAATAACCTTAAAGAGATTAAGATCACACAAGCCAATGCTCCTTCAGCCATATAACTGTAATTACTACAGATTGCAGTTGTATTACATGCACTACAATATATCCTGTAGCCTGACATTATGAACTTGTAGCACCTCCATTAGTAAAGTTCGAGCCAGCTCAGAAGGCTCATGTATCTGCCCTTCGTGTAATCTAGCATTTCTTTCTTTCCATAGCCCCCAAATAGTAGCAGCGAACAGACTTTCAATGTCTTGGGGTCATGATATAGTTTATCACACCACTGAAATAGCTCCCACAATGTATGAACATCACCAAAATTAGAATCCCATTCTAAGACCTCAGCAAACCAAACCCAGAATTTCTGTGAATATGAAAAAGTAATGAACGTGTGATTTCTGTCATCACTATCAGACAAACACAAAGCACAAATTGGAGCCAAAACCATATTTCTCTTCTGCAGATTCACCATGGAAGGCAACTTGTCCTGCATAGCAAAAACAGCCGTTGTAGACCACCTTGGTCTAGCTTTGCCCCAATACAAATAATGCCACTGAACAGGTTCTTCTACTGCTGTACAACATTTCCATGCTTTTTTGAAACTGAACTGCCCCCCATTCCACAAAATCTTATCAGGTCTCTGCAAAATAGGAATATTCAAAAGATAATCTCTAAAAGGTTGTAATCCCTCTTCATGAAGTAATTGCAAATCCCATCCTCCTTGAATTATTAGGGCCTGTAAAGTTTCTGTTTTAGCCAAATCCAACATTCTGCCCAACCTATGACCAAATTGTTGTGAGACAGTTAATACCCCACACCAAGGATCAAGAAATACCTTAATTTGTTGCCCATTCCCAACCTGATACCTAGTAAACTGCAACATTAAGTCTCTAACCTCCACCATAGATTTCCACACAACTGAATTTGTAGCTCGAGGAACTACATTCCAATATGAAGATTGCGGAGTATATTTCTGCTGAAACCATGATACCCATAATCTGTCTTTGCTGATCAAGAAGTCCCAAGCAAGAATACACCTAGATACAATCTGCAAATCCGTAAGTCTCCTCAGCCCCAGACCACCTTCCTTCTTAGTTTTAGTCACCATTTTCCAACTCAACAGATGCATTTTATGCTCTTGTTCTGTACTGCCCCATAGAAAATCCCTGCACAATCTCTGGATTTGATTAGTAACAGCCACAGGGACCACAAATAAGCTACACCAATACAAAAAAATTGGATTAACCACAGATTTCAACAACTCCAATCTTCCTGCTACAGAAAGTAACTTGTTGCTCCAATTCTGAATTTTTTGAGAAATTTTATCAATAAGTTCTTTGCAATTGGACTTCTTTAAACCATATGGACATAAAGGTATACCTAGATATTTAATTGGAAACTCATCTTCACTACATTGCAGCATCTGTAACAAAACATTCTTCCTCCTCACTGCCCTTGAGAATAACACTGTGCTCTTAGCAGGATTAATCTGAAGCCCAGTCAAATGAGCAAACTGTTGAAATATATCAAATAAAGCTCTTGCATTAGACAAAGATGCTTCACACACTACCAGAAGATCATCAGCAAATAAAATATGACACAATTCGGAGTTAATTTTTCTGGCAGAATAAGAAACCTTCAACTGTTGAGAAATTACTGCTTCATGAATACTCTTAGAGAGTTGTTCAGTCACCAATGTAAACAGCAAAGGGGAGAGTGGACACCCTTGCCTTAAGCCTCTTCCTGGTGAAATGAATCCTGTAGGAGACCCATTCACTAAAATAGAATACCTAGAAGTCTTTAGAATAGCAGTAATCCAGTTAATCCATACCTCAGAAAATCCATGTCCTCTGAGAGCTTTTAACAAAAAATCCCATGAAACTTGGTCATAAGCTTTCCTGATGTCAACTTTAAGAGCCATAGTAGGATTTCTTGGGCCAGAAAAACCCCTTACCAATTCATGAGCCATGATTAGAGCATCTTGAATTTTCCTTCCCTTGACAAACCCACACTGCTCAGCCTCCACAAGTTTATACAGCACACTTGAGAGCCTATTAGCAAGTATCTTTGTGATTATTTTATAAACTACATTGCATAAAGCAATAGGTCTAAACTCACTAGGCTTGTAAGCATTACCTACCTTTGGAAATAAAGTGATGAAAGCACTACTTACCCCTATAGGTAGAGTACTTGTCTGAAAAAAATGTTGGACTGCTAAAACCACCTCCACCTGAATCACAGACCAAAAGGTTTGGAAAAACTTTGCTGGAAACCCATCCGGGCCTGGAGATTTATCTGGTTTAAAGTTCATAACTACATCCTTAATATCTTCTGCTGTAGGAATTCCCTCAAGAAGTAATAAGTCATTATTGTCAAGAGTCTTCCTAGGAACCACAACAATCTGATCACTACTATTATGGTTAGTAAAAAGCTCTTCATAGAACTGAACAAAGCTGTCCCCAATCGCCTTCATATTAGTAGTGACTGAACCATCCTCCTCCTCAATTTTAGTGATTGCATTGAAGTTCCTATGCTGCTTCATTTTATGATAGAAAAAGGCTGAACATCTGTCATTCTCTGTTAACCATTTCACTCTGGCTTTCTGAGCTATAAAAATATCTTGATCATAGATTGCAGCTTGATATTCTTCTCTGACCTTTCTTTCCTTGTCAAAACCTGCTTCAGAAGGGGAGTGAAGTAAATTCAGTTGAATTTCTTCTAATTGCTGCCGAGTCTTGTGCACCCTATCCCCAACATCACCAAGCACATTCTTATTCAACTCCTGAATGAGCTTTTTAACATTCCTCAATTTCTTTAATAACCTGTGCAATGGTGACCCTGAAACTTCCAAGGACCAAGCCCTCTGAACCAAAAATAAAATAGCATCTTGTGTGCACCAGATTTTTAACATTTTGAATGGCTTAGGACCATTGGCAAAAGATTTTGAAACATAAACTACAATGCCATAATGATCTGAACACTTTGCAGTTGTAAAAGAAACCTTAGAACCTGGAAGTAAATCCAACCAACTATTATTAATAAATGCCCGATCCAATTTCACCATAATTCTTCTGTGACTACTCTACCTATTGCACCATGACCAATCTCCATTTGTAGGAAATAACTCCACCAAGCCTGCATTTTGAAGACAATTATTGAACTCATTCAACAATCTCTGTGGAACTCTAGCACCTCCCTTCTTATCACCATGGAATCTCACTGCATTCCAGTCCCCAAGAGTTATCCATGAACCAGAAATAATAGTTGAATATTGAACAAGACTATCCCACAACTCCACCCTATCCACACTGGTATTAGCTGCATAAACTGGAGTGCAACAGAATTGCTCACCAGTATGTAAAATGTCCACTTTCAGCAACATACTTTGTGCCTGCACATCCATCACTGTAACAGAAAACACCATAGGATTCCATCCCACCCAAATTCTACCTAAAACATGTGCATCATAATTATGAATCCAAGACCAATGAGCCATAACTCTGTTGGAAACTCTAAAAAAAGCAGCACTACGAACTTTGGTTTCAAACAGACAACAAAACTGAGAGGTATTAGAATGAATCCATTGTGTAACCTCTCTCTGCCTACAAGCCTTATTTAGGCCTCTAACATTCCATGATAGAAACATTGAGAGGGAGGCAAAGGGGGCAACTGCCCCATGTGACTTCGTGTTTTCCTATCAGTGCTTGTCACAGATTTATTCTTAGCTTTCTTTGTATTTTCAAGTTTTCCTCCATTTTCCTTCCACTGCTCTTCCGAGACCTTATTTCCCTCTACTAGCACCCCAGCAGCATCATTTGAGGACACATTATCAGGACCTTTTTCTATGATATCTGAGTGAACATCTTCTGGCCCACGCTTGGTTTGTATAGCTTCTGTAGTCGCATTAGACAACCCTGCAGCACCAAGTTCCTCACCAGTAGATAACTCAATAGCATCCACAACCTCCCTTTGATCACTTCCTCCATCTTGCTCAACATTGGATCCTTCTATATCTAATAACTCAAAACTATTAGAGGTCTGAATCGTAGTATTAACAACAGGTGTATGGACCACAGTTTGTTCCACTATATTCGTAAGAGTCCTTTCTTCAAACACCTCATCGACATCTTGAACAACCAACTGTCCCTTCTGTTTCACTACCCATTTGTCCACCATTTTCTTCTTCTTCGTCTTTGCCTGTAGTACTTTTTGTGGGCACCTATCTGAGACATGATCAATTTTTTGACATAAATTGCACATTTGGGGCTTCCACTCATATTCGAACTCCAAAACACAATCCACACCATGAATGTCTACCACCATAGAATCAGGTAATTCTACCTTCACATCCACTTCAACCATAACACGAAGATATCTACCTTTTTCTCTATTGTTCTCTGTATTATCCATATATATTGGTTTAGCAAAAGAGGAACAAATCAGAGAAACCATTTCTGCCTTCCTGCAATGTACTGGAAGATCATATATCTTCATCCAAACTGGAACCGTTTCCATTACTTCCTTGACAAGATTAACATTTTACTCCAACGCTTCAGAATTATTGGCCTTCCCTCGAAAGTACGAATGTGAGACAGTACTTTCGTTACATCTGTTTCATCATGAAAACGAACCAGAAAGAAGCCATCTTTAAGATATAACAAAGTAAAATTTTTTGACCAGTACTTTTCCACATACGATTTGAAATAATGGTAATAAGGCTTCTTTCCCATCACATATCCTACCACTGAGGACGACCAGTATTTGATTTCATCTGCAACAACCTCTTCCTTGATAGAAATCTTGGTTCCATGAACATCACTATGGTATTTCAAGTTTTGAAAATCTGATGCGGTTTCAGTAAAAAACCGGCACCAAGAGGTGGTTGGGGTTGTATTCCGGCTTGGAGAACCCTCCGGCGGGATTGGGGAGGAGGCCTGGCCCTCCTCCATCAACTTGAGTTCCGGCCCAGTCACCTATAATGCATAAACGTAGAAAACCCTAAATCGCCTGTCTATACAAGCTTAACTATACAATAGTCTTTGCTCAACATTTAGGGAGAAGTTAAAACCGAAGGATGGTGTTAGATGCTTAGTAAACTAATGTTGACTGTAATAATTTCCAATTTATTTTTAAGGTTTGTATAATGCTGATTATACTCGGGAATCTACTTCCAGATTGGCGTCCTCCACAGCTTCTGAAAAAATATTGGCTGCTAACTGATTGTTTGTGTGCATCTAATCTTCTTTGAAGTTACGGTTGCTTTATGATAAATTAATAATTGAGTAGCCTTGCAGATTGGATTATGTTGATTTGACAGAGTTTACCTCTCCCAATTGACTACACGACATCATCATCATTATCCCTGCCTTTATCCCTTATGGATGGGTGCGGTCGCATGAATTTTCTTTTTCCATTCTTTCCTATTATACACCATGCATGTCTCCTATTATACTTATTTTTTAAGACTAATTTTTAATTACTTCATCCCATATAAGTTTTGGTCGGCCTCTTTGAACCCTTTCTCTTCTAGACGGTGCATCTTCGGATTCTACTTTCTCTAATTTTATCATTATAGACAGAATCCTAGTTTTCCCCTCACACGTTCATTTTTAATTCTTATTTTTCTAGCAAGTCCTATCATCCAACGAATCATCCTCATTTCCGCTACATGAATGAATTATTCTTGTTTCCTTTTCAACACTCAACATTTTGATCTTACACAACATCTTCTGTGAAAATTTGATTGGTATAATAATTGTATGTGCTGCATCTATTATTCAAATCGCTCACAGTTTGCCTGTTTTGCAATATATACCAGCCTCCATGGGATACGGAAATTGGCAAGAAGTTCATAATTCATTACACTTATGGATGTGACTATGATATGAAGGTACTGTTGGGAAACAAGCTAGTTGTCATAGTATTAAATATTGAAAGTTACAAAACAGGTTTTGATGGAAGAAATGCTTCTGACCTCTTGTCATTGAGCCTGATAAAAGCTAGTGTCCAGTATTAAATATCACTATTTATTTATTTATTCTTCTTCTTCTAGTTCTTTTTTTTTTTCCTAAATTATTTCTTGGCTAATAGCCTTAAGGTGTCATGTTCTGATATTCAGGGTAAGTTGACCTATGGAAAGATTGGAGAATGGAGATTTGACAAACGGTCTTATGATAAAGTCTGGCCACCAAGAAACCTTCCAATGCCTCCACCTGGTGTCCCAGAAAGTGTGGTATGCTACCATTACCTTGTTGTTCTAACTTTATGCTGCATAATTGGTTTACCAAGAGAAGACCCCTTGTTTACTTATAGATATATGCCTACATTTGTCTACAATTATGAAATTATATACTTTGTGGTCTTATCTTTTTAACTTCAACATGGAAGGTTAGCCATCTTAATTTGATATCTGATATAGAGATTAGTGATCCGTTAGATATCGACGGAATATTTTCGTCATTTGACGAGTCTCGATAGCATACTTGTGATGTGAGTGTACTCTTTATACAAGATGAGTTGGAAAAGCTGACCAAGAATTCTTGGAACTCTGTGATTGGTTTGGCCTATAAAATTATAAAGACACCAAGAAACTTGTATATACTTTTAAATGACAGTACAAAATGGACATGCAAAAGGGTAGGCTAGTACTGGCCCTGTTTAGAGTTCCACAGCTAACTTTAGATTAAATGGGTAATTGTGAATTTTTAACAAACCATAAAATTGGTGAAATGTCCAGCTAATCTTGAGTGTGTATAAATGCTTTGGCATATGACTTGGATTTAAAGCCAGTTTATACTAGTTTCTTTCAACCTTGCTGCAGCTTATGGATCCTTGTTATTTTGGTAAATTATCGACCCAAATATTACCTTTGGTTTCTCCATGGACATTTGGATACCATTTGGAAATGAAATTAGTTAACATGGATATCTAGTACATATAAATGTATAAAAACCAATGCATGAAACAAGTCCTTCACCTAAATTTTCAACATTTGTGTAGAACCAAATTGTTAATAAAATAATATAATAAACTTGTCCTTATATAATTTTTAACCAACTTTTTTTGGCTAATGTATGAACCTTTTTTTTTTTGCCTGGGAGAGAACCAAAAAGAAAATTTGAAAATGCTTCAAAGAGGAAACAAGAAAATGTAGGGTTTGCTTTTTAACCGAGTTTTCGGAAAATGGTTTTCAGAAACTATTAACCAAGCATATTTTTTGTTCTCAAAATACATAAAATTGTTCTCAAAAAACTGAACCAAGTAGGCCCATAGTTTTTTTTTCATGTTCATGTGATTTGGCGTTATTGCTACCTCTCTGGTCATGACCACTGAAAACCAATGATGATCCTCCATTCTTTGATTCTTGTCCAATTGAATTCATAAGAAAATCTTTGAAATGGCAGGTTACTCTGGTGAGAATGGTAAATGAAGCCACAGAAAACATTCCTAATTGGGGTTCTTAAATAAGAAGTCCGTGTAGAAAGCTCTGCAGTGACAAGGTACAGTTTTCGGCAGATGGTGGAGCTATACAGCCATTATTTATAGTCATACGAAAGCTTTGCATGTGGTGCACTTCGATACACATAAACCCCTATCAATCGTTTAGAACCGTATAATTTGCTAATGAAAATGGGTTTTGTACCCATCTGCGAAGTCTTTTTAGCCATTATATACATAGAGGGGCTTCCATGAGCATGATGACTGGCTCTCAAATATTCACTTCTTAGACAGAATTTAGTGCACTGCTGCTGATCTTTGTAACGTCATGTTGTTCATATCCCGAACTTGAGTTTCACTTCCTATGATGATTGATTTTGATGCTAATGTTGAAATGACTTTTGCCAATTGTTGTTTTCATGGATTTTATGAACCCAACACTTCTTTTATCTGAATGAATAATGCACTGGATATTCTTGGAAAACCGAGCACATCTTTCATCTAAATGGCTAATGAACTGATACTCTTTGGAAAATGACTCTTTTGTGTGTGTGTTTTCTTTTTTCTTCTTCTTTTATTGGTTATCTACCAAAAAACTCTCTCTCTCTCTCTCTCTCTCTCTCTCTCTCTCTCTCTCTCTCTCTTCTTTTACCTACAAAAAATAAAAATAGAGAAGCCACAAGAAAAAAGGGACTGTATGGTTTATTTTTCTAAGGACACATTCAGGAATACTGAATTTAGAAAATAGTTTTCAAAATCTACTCATTTTTTTAAAACTCTATTTTTGTTATATATATCTATGTTTATGGGGCCCACAATAGTGTAAGTATCCATATGTCTCATCTTTGGCGTGGGCAGGAAGACCAACTTTTAGCTTACAATGAAACCTTTAGTATAAGCTTGCTTGGGACGCTTTATCTGGAGCGTATAAATAGGCTCTATGTATCACTTGCTTGGTAGAGACTTTGAATAAAGTTTTTCATCCTTCTCTCTCTTTTTCGTGTTCAATGTGTGTGTGAGAGAAAGTTTCTCTAATAAATATTGCTCTATATACATACATATATTCACTGTCACGTTATCAGCACGAAGCTCTATCAACTGAGAAGAAAATTCTATTTTTCTTTCTCACTTCAAAGGGTAAGAAAAATAATTATTTATATTAAACTGTTATTATTCAAGTTTCACATATAATTAACATTGCGAGCCTGCAGTCTCGCAATTATTTATTTATTTATTTATGTTAGAGTATTTTTGTCTATTCCTTATAGAAAATTAAATTGCTGAGCCCGAAGTCTCGCAAATATTTTGTCTAAAATATTTAAGTTGCAAACTTGAAGTTTTGCATATATTAATCTACTATTTGTGAGCTTGAAGTTTCACAAATAGTCTTTGCGAACCTGAAGTTCCGCAAAATTTGTGGGCCTAAAGCTTCACAAATATTTGGTACTCTTTGCGAACCCGAAGTTCCGCAAAATTTGTTGGCCTGAAGTCCAAATGAATCTGAAATTCTTTGACCTGAAGTCATTTACACTGAGTACCCTTACAAACCCGAAGTTTTGTAAAACGTAGAAATATAAAATATATGTGCCTTTTAGTGTAAACATATTTTGTCTTTTTGTTATTGTTTTGTTTACTGAAAGCACATGACTAACTTTTGACATTATATATTTACTGACAAATCACATTATAGTGACTGCAGTATTTTTATAATCTCAAATTGATTATTCTTTTTGTGAAATAATTCTAACTATGTTATTTTATCATTTATAGTTCATAATGTTAAATCTTACCAAACTTGAATTTGTGGAACTTGATATCTCGGGCAAAAACTACTTGTCATGGATCCTTGATGCCGAGATCCACTTGGATGCCATGACTCTCGGTGAAACAATTAAGGAAGAAAATAATGCGTCCCTACAGGACCGTGCGAAAACCATGATCTTTTTTCGCCATTACCTCCATGAGGAATTAAAACAGAGTACCTCACGGTTAAGGATCCACTTACACTGTGGAAAAATCTGAAAGAACGATATGATCATTAGAAAACTGTGATCCTTCCAAAAGCTCGCTATGACTGGATCCACCTGCGATTGTAGGATTTTACAAGTAATAATGAGCTTTTGATGCAAAACCACTAGTCTCGTCCCACTGGATCTGTACCATTCCCAGAAGCGAATGTGTCATCACTTCACGGCCATGGACGTGGACATGGACGTGGACGCGGACGTCGTGGTGGTTGTGGATATGGTCTCAATAGAAATAATTATAATAATCGTGGTGGTCATAATTCCTCATTGGTTCCCAGAAGGAACTCCACACCGTCCCACCAGAAGTGGAATTCAAATGCGACCAAGCAAGCAAAAAAAAAAGCTTTGCAGAACAAAGCTCCTGAGATATATGATGGCAAGCCTTGCTATTGATGTGGAATGAAAGGTCATTGGTCGTGTACCTGTCGTACGCCCAAACATCTAGTTGATCTTTACCGTGCCTCAATGAATGATAAGGGAAAAGGAAAAGAAATTAAAATGAATTTTGTGGATGATGACTTAACAACTGATATTACTCACTTTGATGTTTCTGACTTCTTTGCTTATACTAGTAGTAGTATTGATCATTTGATTGGTGATGGAAATGTTCATACCAATTAATGTGTCATTCTCTAGCATGTTATCCCCTGTGTGTTTTATCTTATCTGTATCAATATGTCTCTATCCAGGTTGTACTAGTATGTTTTTATTTTGGCTATCTTGTATGTAAATCTAGTTTGTATTTCAAGTTTGAAGTAATGAAATATATATTTTGTGTATATGAAGAAGCATGGATCTGACTAAGGCATTGAGTGTACCCAAGAAAAATGGTGAAGATATATGTCTGGTAGACAGTGCAACAACGCACACTATACTCCGAAATAGAAAATATTTTTCGAGTATAACATTAGTTGAAGCTCGTGTCAATACAATATCAGGTCCAGCAGACCTAATTGAAGGCTCCGGAAGAGCTATCATTATGTTACCATGTGGAACACAATTGAATATTGATAATGCTCTATACTCTACTAAAACCAAAAGAAATTTATTAAGTTTTAAAGATATACGTCTCAATGGTTATCATATTGAGACTATAAATGAAGGGGGCGTTGAATATCTCTGCATTACATGCCAGAAGCATGTATTAGAAAAACTCCCTGCTTTATCTTCTGGGTTATATTATACAAATATAAGAGTAATTGAGTCACATGCAGTGACACACCAGAAGTGCTCCGACCCAAATATTTTTGTACTTTGGCATAATCGCCTTGGTCATCCTGGGTCAACAATGATGCACCGAATCATTGAAAATTCACATGGTCATCTACTAAAGAACCAGAAGATTCTTTTAGCAAATGATTATCCTTGTACTGCTTGTTCACAGGGTAAATTAATAATCAGACCATCACATTCCAAGGTCGTCGTTGAATGCCCACCATTTTTACAACGAATTCAAGGGGATATATGTGGACCAATTCATCCAGCGTGTGGACCATTTCGGTATTTTATGGTCTTAATTGATGCATCAACACGGTGGTCACACGTAAGTTTACTTTTTACTCGTAATGTTGTATTTGCTCGACTCCTTACTCAAATAATTCGATTACGAGCACAATTTCCGGATTATCCAATCCAGACTATCCGTCTTGATAATGCTGGGGAATTTACATCTCAATCATTTGATGACTATTGCATGTCAATTGGCATTCTTATTGAACATCCTGTTGCACACACTCACACCCAAAATGGTCTTGCAGAATCTTTTATCAAACGTCTTCAGTTAATAGTTAGACCATTACTCATGAGAACTAAACTACCTGTTTCTGCTTGGGGACATGCGATATTACATGCAGCATCACTAGTTCGCATTAGACCAACTGCATATCATAGTTTTTCACCACCACAACTTGTGATGGGTCAACAACCAAGTATCTCTCACTTACGAGTTTTTGGTTGCGCTGTACATGCTCCTATTGCACCCCCACAACGCACCAAAATGGGTCCTCAACGACGACTTGGTATTTATGTAGGTTTTGATTCTCCATCTATTATTAGATATCTTGAACCTATGACAGGTGATGTTTTTAAGGTGCGGTTTGCTGACTGTCAGTTCGATGAGACTGTTTTCCCTACATTAGGGGGAGAAAAGAAAAAGCCAGAAGAGCAACGAGTTATTACTTGGAATGTCTCGACTTTATCTCATTTAGATTCTCGCACAAATCAATGTGAACTAGAAGTTTAAAGGATCATTCAGTTGCAAAGTATTGCAAATCAATTACCCGATGCATTTACTGACGCAAAGAAAGTGACGAAATCACATATACCAGCTGCAAACATTCCAGCAAGAATTGATGTCCCTGTAGGACAGTCTGTCAGTACTGTTGCAAATGCATCTAAGACACGCCAGAAGCGTGGTAGACCAGTCGGTGCAAAAGATACTGTTCCCCAGAAGAGGAAAGTGCAAGAGAAATCAAATAAAGAAATTGGCGCTCCTGAAGAGGTCACACTTGCAAAAGAAATTGGCGCTCCTGAAGAGGTTACACTTGCAAAAGCAACAACGAAAATGATTGATCAATCTAAATTTTATAAGTAAGTAGCCCCAGAAGATATGCATGCCCTGGAAGTGGCACATGCCCCGGAAGTGGCACATGCCCCGGAAGTGGCACAAGCCCCTGAAGAGGCACTGGTACCTGAAAATAATGAGATCTCAATAAACTATAGAGAATTGTGGGATAGAAATATAGTTATTATTAACGATATATTCTCCTTTGCAATTGCTCTTGATATTGCAGGTGATGATGAGGATCCTGACCCTTAAAACATCGAAGAGTGTCGATGTAAAAATGATTGGCCAAAATGGAAAGAAGCAATACAGGCAGAGCTAAACTCATTAGCAAAACGTGAAGTATTTGGACCTGTAGTCCAGACACCTGAAGATGTCATGCATGTAGGATACAAATGGGTGTTTGTAAGGAAATATAATGAGAAAAATGAAATTGTAAGATATAAAGCCCGACTTGTAGCCCAAGGTTTCTCGCAGAGACCTGGTATTGATTATGAAGAGACATACTCTCCTGTGATGGATGCAATCACATTTCGCTTCTTGATCAGTTTGACAGTCTCAGAAGGACTGGATATGCGTCTGATGGACGTGGTTACAGCTTATTTATATGGATCACTAGATAGTGACATATATATGAAAATCCCTGAAGGATTTAAAATGCCTGAAGCAAATAGCTTGAAACCACGTACCATGTATTCAATCAAGTTACAACGATCCTTGTACGGATTGAAACAATCCGGACGCATGTGGTACAATCGACTCAGCGAGTATTTACTCAAAGAAGGATATGTGAATAATCAAGTTTGTCCATGCATTTT